TTAAATTAAAGGATTATTCAACCAATTAACCCATTATTAAATTACTATTCATTTTTTTTTCCGATAACATAGTTTATTTAATTTTGTATCTTACTAACTATTTGTGAAACAGTTTGGGGGGGTCCAGGTTATTTTTTATTGCCATTTGCTGGATCATAAACCAGTTGACTTTATTATTTTAGAATCACGATTTCTTATTATCTCTCTGTCGTTTCTCTTGGTTTTTGCATTTGTGGTTTCTTGCTTTGCAAATTAAGAGATTAGAGTTTGGAGACGATTGTATGTATGATCTTGGGAATTTCTTTTCGTTTTATGTTCTTTGTTCGCCATTTTACAATCTTAGATTATATTAGTAATTTTCATACAAAATCTGTGAATCTGGTTGATAATGATTTCTTCTTTTTTTTTTGGTTTTTTAGGTGATAATGATTTCCTATGAACTGACTGGAAAGATGGAGGAAATATGTGTATTTGTGCCTGACTTATGATTGAGAAAGGTTTCGTCTCCAAAGGATCTTGAGATATGACTAGACATTGTGAGATCATTAAATCTTCCATAAACCCTACAAGGTGAAAACATTAACTTCAGTTTCTCAAATTTTACCTCAAATCATTTTAATTGATAAGCAACTTTAAGTTTTAGTTTTACACATAATTATAAGCAACTTGAACCTTTTTTTTTTTTAAATGCATAGAGGTTTGATGGAACAAAACTTTGAATGTGAGAGATTCATAGGTAATTGAATCTTGCCACACATTAACTTCTTTAATCAAACACTTTTGTTGTATCACTGGACTTTTTATTAGAAAAAATAATAGTGAATGCTTTGTAAAATTTAAGTGTTTAACCAAACACTTTTTTTCCTGGTAGGCTAAAACATATACGTAGATATTCATCTAGGTTTTTTTTTTTAATTTTCAAATGAGTCCTTTTTTTTGTCAACAATTTTCAAATGAGTCCTATATATAGTCTTAAAAGTTAAAACCAAAGAATAGAAAAATCCAAAGAATTGAATGGAAATGAATTACCAAATGCCTAGACTTACAAACTCTATATAGATATGATTATTATAAAAGAAAATTTTCTAACCAAATTTTTTTTTTTTCAAGGGAACCAAAGTTTCTGAGCGCGGGAGACTAAAATTACACGTCACATTCACATCACACGTGGCGATTTCTTATTCGATAGCTTACTCGTTCAACAGTAGCGACTCGTCAACTCTCAATATTCAATTTCCTCCGCAGCGTGTGTTCTTCCGATTCGTCTTCTCGGAGGAACCCACCGGAAAAACTGACTAACAATTTGTTTAATTTTCATGTACTTTCCGGCAAAAAATTATCGATTTGAGCTGCTAAGTTTGAGAATAAAGTTATGGAGACGGAGATACCTAAGTCAGCGGAGATCTCAGAGACATTATTGTCATCGGGAAAACCCCCGACGAATCTCGATTACTACGACGAAGTTGTCCCCGAGTGGAAGGATCAGATCACAATCCGAGGCTTAATCGTTAGCGCTTTGCTTGGGATTTTGTTCTGTATCATTACTCATAAGCTCAATCTCACAATCGGAATCATTCCTTCGCTTAATGTAGCTGCTGGTCTTCTCGGCTTCTTCTTCGTCAAATCGTGGACTGGTTTCTTGTCGAAATTAGGGTTTTCTGCTAAACCTTTTACCAAGCAAGAGAACACCGTTATTCAGACTTGCGTTGTTGCTTGCTATGGCCTCGCTTATAGTGGTAAATCACAATCATTTTGCTTTTGATTCTATCAATTTTGTTGAATGGAATTGTAGCTATTCCACATTGATGATAGATTATGATTTTGCTAGTATATGGATTGGTCTTGC